CGCCCCCACTGGCCAGGGGCTTGAATTGATTCAGAGGATTTAATTAACCGATATTGAATTGGGATTGATGAATCGATATTTGTACCCCCCCCCCACCAGGGAGCGTACATACATACATCATACTACAAAGAACAAACACACATTTAACAGAAATATTGAACTGAAGTCATCTTTTCATTTTGTCCGTAATGTTTCTTGAGAGAATGATTCTTCTTTCAGTTGAACATAAATACACACAGATATATCAGTATATATGCTGCTGCATTCACTAACTGTTGTTTGTCGTCCTCAGGAGGAGTATTATGGGAAGGAGCTCATCCTGGCTGACAGAGACCTCGTTGAACAGGGGGCTGATGAGATCCTGAAGGATGCTGATGTGACCGATGTGGCGTTCCTGGTGGTGGGCGACCCGTTCGGGTGAGTCACGTTGTCCACGTATCAGGACTGGATATTGATCCCACAGCTGTGGCACACAGAGCTCCTCTCAGAGCAGAACCACCAGATTCCAGCGGGCGGTAATGACAGAGCGCGAGCAGCCGCCGCTCTCAGAAACTGAAACTCTGTTGACTTTTGTTCATGTGAATGTTGCTTTTACAGTTTACATGAAAAGAGAAGCTGGTTCTTTTTTTGTGCCACTAAACACTAAAAACGGTGAATCTGTTTTTCATCCCGCTTTGGTTTAACCTCGTCTGTGACCTCAGCATCTGCACGCCGCTCTGTCATTCAGTCACAGGGTTTCCACAGACTGCTCTTCATCGCCACTCGCCCTACATTCAGCTCAAATGTTTCTATTCTGTGTCTTCCTGCAGAGCCACCACCCACAGTGACCTGGTCCTGAGAGCAGTGAATTCTGGGATACCGTACAGAGTCATCCACAACGCCTCCATCATGAACGCAGTGGGCTGCTGCGGTCTGCAGGTAGGTCACACCTGTTCAATGTGCACTATGTTTATAATCCATCTGTGCTGACTCCAAAGCCACCAGACTCCTTTAATAAAAACAGTGATTTAAGCTCAGTGAACACAGGAAGTTTCTGGTCTCCGGCTGCCTCCATCTGCAGCGACTAATGTTAGTTCTGATCCGAACAAACGTGTTCAAACACCAAAGTCACACAATGACACAAAGAGACGGACTGACGGAGGCAGCGGTACAGCAACAGCTCTGTGCTCTGTCAGCTAAAATGACTGCTTTTATAAATGGAGTCTGGTGGATTTGAAGAGAGTTGTACAATGTCTGATGATGGAAAAGTGTGTGATCCAGGGACCACGAGAGAAGGACTGATTGTACGGTGGCCCAGAGGGACCAGTGAACGGCAGAAGACAACACAACAGATGTTCACAGTTGTTATATTTATTAATATTAGGTCAGACTAATGTTAGACTGTTGGTCTAATAACAGTGTAATTTACTATTGTTTTTTTCACAATAATTCAGTAAAATACAAACAGAGACAACAGTAGTTACAGTGCAGGAGGGGAAGGAAGCCCTGAAGGCTCATTCAGAGCAGCTCTACCAAAATAAAACCATAAACATTTATTTTATTATTCAAGGTAAAGAAAACACAAACAATCTGTATGTAAACACAAACAATCTGTATGTAAACACAAACAGTATCTATAGTAGATAGAACCGATGGAGGCAGCGGGCTGAAGGTGAGGAGGATGAAGATGAAGATGAAGATGAAGAGTGGGTAAACGCTCATTGTCTCGACCCATCTGCTCACACTGAGTGTGACCTCATCAATAACTGACCTGTCACAGCAGCCAATCAGAGAGCAGGACCCAGCTGTCCACACACACACACATTAGCATTAATGCTAACGGAGCGGCCTCCACTGGGAGGTCGTTAATATGCTAATGAGGGGCGGAGTATGTAAATGAGCTCGCTGTTCCCTCCACTGGGAGTCAATCCCATCAGCCCCTGCTGTCTGCAGGGCCCCGCCCACTCCTCACATGACCCTCCACGCTTGTTCTGACCGTAACCACAGTCTTTATCTCGGGGCCACTGCTGGTACCGTCCTCTCACAGGAGCCCGATGTGATTACACCAGTAATCCATTACATCAGATCAGTAATGGATTACTGATCAGAAAGAAGATGCAAACAGCTGTTTTTATACATTTAATATCAGCAGAAACACATCTTCATCCTCATCTTCATCCTCAAATAGAATTTATTATTTTATTTATTATTTAGTATTGTCTGTGATAGTGTGTGTGTGTGTGTCTGTGTGTGTGTGTCTGTGTGTTGTGTTCTGTGTGTACCGTTTTATGATGTGTGTGGTGTGTCAGCTGTATAAATCATTTCGGGAGAGCGGATGTCGTATGGTGTTTGGACTGACACGTGGAGACGGAGAGCTTCTACGACAAAAGCTGTAACAAAGCAGAACAGCTGGACTGCACCACACTCTGTCTCTGGGTGAAGACACAGCACACACAGCAACACAACCACAACAAACACAGGTGATAAGTAAAATCAACCAAACCGGTTCTCCTGTCTTAGAGATGAAATGTTATGGAAAAATAACAGAGAGTTGGTTATTAATAAAGTGGACTGGTTGTATTAAAGTGGACTGGTCAGTGTCTGCGTGGTTGGGCGTTCGCTTGGTTATTTCCCTGCAGTGCCTACACCAGAGTGTTAACTGTTTATCAGAGCAACCAGCACATCATCAATCAATCAGCCCCTCAGCAGTAAATCTCACCCAAGTAGACGATACCCCACCCACCAATTAGAAAAGCAACAGTCCTGTGGGAGCTGGAACATATGTGGCTGGTGACTCATGTTAGTCTAATTAGAGTTGTGTGTGTGTGTGTGTGTCCTCAGGCTGGTTGTTAATATTCATTACATGAAATAAAACGCACAAGACAACTCATCCCATCATCCGTCTCCTCATCAAACAGAAACTCACTAATTTGGTACACTCTGTATTATTATGATTTAATATGAGCTCTTGTATAATATAGTAAGCTTTATTATGACACTATCTGTTATATAGCATTTATATGCACCTCTGTATTTAATACCTTTATAGATCCATACCTTAGTAAGCCTTTATATTAGACGTCACTTGTAATCTGGGTGTCATACTGATTAACTATGATCGGTCCAAATCAGTAGACATTTTAGTTATTTCAACATAATTTGATTCTATATTAATATATTTTGCCTAATGAAACGACACAAGTGAGCGTAAACGAGCAAGATTTAGGATTTAAGTTCGCTTATTAAGTGATCAGCTAATAGTTTTTCACAGATCTATGATTCATAGAATGGAATCATATAATGACAATAAATGGAGCATTAGTTCCATCCAGTTATTGACAAGTTACTTGTTAGTCTGTATAAACCTTTATGCACTGCAACTGTTCATCTGTGTGTTCAAATAAAGTTTTGAACTGAATGTTTTTTCTCATGTTTTATAATTGACCTTAGACATTAAAGTCAAAGAGCCAGAGCGTAGAGAAACATCCACGAGGTAAGATTCCCAGAACCACGTCCTGATCAGATCAGATCGCTCCTCTGGGTTTATCTGCAGCTCTTAGCTGATGATGTCATACTGATGTCATCGCAGCTTGTTATGTTCTGAGGTTGGGTGAACGCATCAGTAGTGGCGTGGCGGTGTCGGGCAAGAGCAATCGCAGCTCACAGAAACAGATTCATGATTTTCTGAAACCAAAGACTCAGCTGACAGGGTTCGGGTAACAGCCCCATATTGATCAGATACGCTGTATCTGTATGGATATATTGATCGGTATACACTGTATCTTTATGGATGATATTGATCAGTAATCACTGTATCTTTATGGAGTGATATTTGTCCCTGTATTGACGTCAGACTGTGGACAATATGACGGCCTTTAGCTCGTGTTTCTAGAGTTAGGTGTTGTTACGAACACGTTAGGAGATATGTTAAAATGTGATATTTCTTAAGAGGGAGTTTGGTGCAGGGAGCTTTTAGTTGGATTTTAAAATAAACTAATATGGATCCAATTTTGGTGAACCAGAAAGGCAAAAATCCTTAGTTCTGATTGGCTGACAGCGCTCTCAGAAACCTCGGACTTCCTGAAGTGTGGCGAGTGTTAAGACCTCCAGACGTTATTTCAGTGTAAAAGAATCAGAACAAACTGTTTTGTATATCTATGTGTAGCAGTGATATGTACAGTCTACATATATATAAATGAGACAATATTTCTAGAGGTGAAGAGATCTACGAGCGTCCTCAGATTCAATGAGCTGGGTCAGTAGTCCGGAAGCTGCAGATCAGTACTGATTACAGATCAATCCAGTTAAGGGTAGAGGAGGGGAGCGAGGGGGCGGAGCTAGGTGGAGGTAACAGCTCACAGGCTTTTCATCTGATTATACTTCTTCCATGTTCTTCCATCATCCAGTCACTACTATTTAAGTGTAGTTGTTTGCACTGTTGTGTGCTGTGCACCTGTCTGTCTGTCCAAATGAAACTGATATTGAAATGATACTAGGAGTACCACGATATCTTGATTTGATCAGTAGGATTAAGACAAAAATTTAAGTCGAATGATTATTGTAAATAGATTCTGATATTTTAAGAATTTAATCACTAATATCTATATTGCACTTTCTGGAACATTAAAATGATCTAGGACGTTAGGCCATAGGAATATGGCATAACGGGCTTCAAGGGTCTGGTTTTGAGCAGTATAAAATCGCTTAAACTCGTTTTTCTGTCCGTTAATCAGCTGGTTAACGTCTGTTTTAGCATGCATAACAATATAAATTAAGAAGCTCTTTCTCCAAACAGGCATTCTTTGTCCCTCCCAAGGTATGACAGAGGACACGGTGTGTGTGGTTATAGGCCGTGGCCCGGGGCTTTGGCGGGCCGACGCCAGGCCATCCGCCAGCGTTGACGTACATTGCGTTCAGATGGTGTGCCGTGTGACCTCCCGGCGGTCCGCCATCCATTGTGCTGGTCGTACACCTAGGTCGATACTTCCACCCGGCTGTGAGGGTGGACTATGTTGCCGAAGTTGAAGGTTCAGGGCAGATACCAAAACGGCACTGGAACACCTGGTGAGGTGGACAGGGCTACCACCTACTGCTCGTAACGGTCTCACAGTAGATTAGTCAAGCACAGTAACTGCAGGACTCAATAATCATCATTTGATAATACAAACAGTTGTGGTGTTGTTTGTTTGTTATATTGGTGTATGAATGTCACCTTCAAATAAAGAGACTCAATAATATACAGCACGAAACAGAATTCAATTTATTTACAGTTAGTGAAAAAAGAGCTGAAAACCCATATGAGATATCACATGGTTTTAAGGTCCAGCATGGTTATATTGGCAACGTTAAATAAACCAAAGTGACATTCCCTACACACGCCACACCATAACGTTGCCCAATCAAGCTGGGCAGCAGTCTGTGGTCCAAGCGTGATTCAGCAGCGGAGGATAGGGGGGTGGTGGGGCAGGAACGGGCTCAGATTGTCTCTGATTGCCATGGATGAAGCGCACTTACGCCTAAGAAAGACTTTGCTTCCTAAGTCTACATAAGTGCGCCCGGAGAAGGGGGGGGTCCCGCTGCCGCAGACCAGGTAGGGTTAAAAAAATTAAGGGAGGAGGGAGGGGAGAGAGGTGCAGTTTAGAGTTCATTCCAAGAGATGTGTGTGAAATAAAGCATCATGGAGATCATGGTATCCCAAGTTCTTGACTCTCCCCCCCCCTTTAGTCTGACCGTTCAGTGGACTGGGGGGGGTA